CAACATCTATCTGCGCTGCATACTTTCGGATCGACGACTCGAATAAGTAAAATAAGTCTAAAAGTATATGTACTGCGCATGACTGGATTACGCAGGCAAAGCTCCCCGGTGTGTTATTCATTTGCATCTACTATGCCAAAGAATATTGGCTAGGCCTACTGTTTGCAAAACTGGATAACCTGAAAAAAATAAAAATAAATAAATGTATGGCTCGCATGGCTCGCATGACTCGCACATTGGCTCGCATGACTCGCTGGCTCGCACTTTGGCACTACTCCTTTGTAACAATAGCAACGCCGTAATTAAATGATTGGCCGAAAGGGCCATGATGAAACCGGCGTTATTTTTATTTTAACGTTCAATTTCAACCAATCACAAGCTTGAACAGCGCCAAAAGGGACATGATAAAAGCGCCGTTTAGTTTTATTTTAACGCCGTTACGTTGTTTAATATTGTTATAGGTTGGCCGAAAGGGCCATAATGAAAACGCCGTTAAGTTGTTCACTTTCAACCAATCAGCTTCTTTAAACAGTGCCGAAAGGGCCATAATAAAAGCGCCATATAGTCTAAAAACGCCGTTTACAGTTACTAGTATATGGCGCAAGGGCCAGACATTCGGCCAATAACACTCCTTCTTTCATTCATTTGTGCGAGTATCTGTAATCGGCATAAATTCTTCACCCGAGTAGGCCTGCAGTTGTCTGTAAGTTATTTGATGCGTTAGGTTTCACGTCCTTATAATATTATAGTAAGACTTTGAAACCATTTTTAGCCTAAAAAATTCTTTCGATTGATTTATTGTAGAGTTTAACCTATTCTGTAGATGATGCAAATTATGGACATCAATGGTTCTATAAACCGCGGGAACAGAGTGTAGCGTGAGCATGTGCAGTGCCGATAAATGACACAAAAATCTATGAAAGAAGGAATGCCATTGGCTGAAAGTCTATGGCCCTTGCGCCAGATACTGTGAACGGCGTTTTCAGAACGGCACTTTTATTGTGGCCCTTTCGGCGCTGTTTCAAGCTTACTTGTGTGATTGGTTGAAATTAAACAACGTAACGGCTTTAAAATAAAACTAATCCCGCTCTCATTATGGTCTTTTTGGCCAGCCTATAATAATATTGAACAACGTAACGGCGTTAACATAAAAAAAACTAGTGCCGCTTTTATTATTGCCCTTTCGGCGATGTAACAAGCTTGTGATTTGTTGAAATTGAACAACGTAACGGCTTTAAAACAATTTAAAATAAAACTAACGCCGTTTTCCTTGTGACCCTTTCGGCCAATCTTATAATTACGGCGTTTTTTAATAAAAGTTAACGGCACTTTTAACATGGCCCTTTCGGAGCTGTTTAAAGCTTGTGATTAGTTGGAACTGAACAACGTAACGGCGTTAAAACAAAAGACAACGGCGTGTTCATTATGGCCCTGATAGCTAACCATTGATATTGTGTTTAAGCCAAAGCTGTACACAATCCATAACACTATCGTTCCACTCTGCGAGGTCTTGGCTTTGCATTACTGCTCCAGCAGAGGACATCTCAGTACAAAGGTATGGTAATTTTCTACAATCAGACACAGGGGAGTGGCCCACCTAACAAGGTACACATAATTACCGTAAATGCTCGAACAAGAGCTGCTCTCGAATAAGCGCAACTCTTGAATAAGCGCCGCACCAAATACTTTTTTTTTCGCTAATAAAAAATATGCTTAATCGGGAGTGGAGTATTACCCTGTGTGTAGTGTTTTGAGAAACAGAGTTTTAAACACAATGTATACAGTGTTAAAATTAATAAATAACACAATGATGACACAAGCAGTTCCTTTTAAACGGTTTTTACTACAACTTAAGTACTTAAGACCTATGATAGGCTCTGAAGAACTAGGAGAATACGTGAGATAGGCAACATGGGAACGGGCATGGAAAGCGCCACGTCAGTATTTTATTTTTTAATAAGCGCCTTTCTCGAATAAGCGCCGCACTGAAGCCTCCAAAAGCTGAAGCCGCCAAAATTGTATAAGCGCCGCGGCGCTTAATCGAGCATTTACTGTATACAGCAGTTTAGTTTAGCCATTAAACTACTTCCACCAACATTTTTTTTTTCATACAACTGAAATAAAGGAACTTTTTGTTGATGAACTATTTTCGGTGCTAATCAGTAAAATTGATTTGAATATCATGTATATATACAGTTCTACGCTGAAATACATATTATGCACTTACGTAAGACATGAGCTACTCAAATTGATTAAATCAAACAATGTACAGTATATATATATATATATTTTAACCCAATGTATATTATTAATATTAGCTGTTCATAAAATATGCCTCTTCTTAGCTCAAGAAGGTGCTTGATAATTTGATTTCGAATTATGAAATGTGTATGCTGCCGGTACTGTGACCTCTCTCACGATAAGTGCCTTTAAATTTTTACAAACACGTAATGCAATGACATACTGATTATTACTATTATTGTATATTTCGGTATTATTTCAGTCGCTCCGAGTTTCTTCCCTATTCTTCATTCTTCCTTTATTAATTCATATCTTACGTTTGTTTATTCATAATTACAATAGATTACTTACATATACAAATTAAGTTTTTAAATATAATTGTTTACGTTTATGTGCTAGTCTCTATAAACTTGTCCTATAATTTACATAATTCAATCTTTGTTCAATTAAAAATCGGAGATATGTCCTGGTCTCCACCACCATAGAGTCACTCTCAGATAGGCTTATCTTCATATGACTTCTATGAATGGATACCTTGTTCGAAGCAAAACATCAAGTTAACTTTATCCATTACCGTTCGTGTTTTTATCGGCCGGGCGGGAAATCTCCCCTACTATTAAATCTCATGAGATCTGATATAGACAGACCTATATATATGAGCAAGATAATAAAGTACATCACGTAATAATCATTATCTTGAAAGACATGCGTTCGTTGGTCTTAAGCCAATGTATAATATGTTATATTATCTAGGGTAGTAATTTCCAGTGGCGCATTTGAGGTTGCCCTGCCGCCAAGCAGCACCCTCCATTCCCCTTCTTCTAATATATATATATATATATATATATATATATATATATATATACTG